AATATATATATATATATATATATATTAAAAGTTGAGTTAAAATGGGCCTTGATGGGCTGGTCTAATGTCGGCCTAAACAAGCCGGCCCGGCCTGGCCTGTAAATTTTCATGGGCCTTACCGTGTAGGCCCATAGGTTGAGGTATGCCAACGCAGCTCAATCCACTAATATTGATGGGCTAGGTCGTATATTAAAAGTTGAGTTAAAATGGGCTTTAGATGGGCCAGTCTAATGTGGGCCTAAATAGGCCAGCCTGGCCTGACCCATAATCGTGCCGGCCCATGGATAGAGGTATGCCAACGCAACTCAATCTATTAATATTGATAGACTAGGTCGTATCTTAAATAGTTTTTTTTCGTGTAGGTCAACACCGTATTCAGATGGGTCTGCACCGGCCCATGGGCTGCGGCCTATAGTTACATCTCTTACGTGGGAGTAGAGGTGCATGGAGTCGGACCACATAGATACCTAGACGGTCAGGTCAGGCTTCTCAAATTGATAGCTCTACCCGAGCAATGACTGGCATATGTGATCAAAAACACCTTGCGACGAATGACGACCCAAATCTATCATTAAGTACTCCTATTGGTAACCCTCATCCTTGATGGGTAATATAAACTCCATTCCTAAACTGAGTATATGACGATGGCGATATGGTTAAAATTTTAGCAAAAACTTTGTCAGCGCGTCAGGCCATTGACCAAAAGTGCACTACTCTCCCATTGACACTTTAAACTTTCAAAATAGAGAATTGCTATCATTTTTTTTTTATTGTTTTAATACTAGGAGTTGATCGCAAAAACATACAATTTAGTTTGGGAAAAAAAAAAAACTCAAAATACAACTCAAAATGATAAATGATATTATTTATATCACTTTACTAAATAATAAGTAACTGTCTTTCAATTAATAAAGAGAAAACAAAGTGTATACTTAATTATTTAAAATGACATAAATAAATGTACAAAATAATGACTAATTATGTACTTTTCTAAATTTGTTTAGAATATAGTGAATATACGAAAAAGTGATACGTAACTAAATAATAAGTAATTATCTTTCAATTAATAAAGAGAAAACAAATGGTTTTATGCACAAAATAAGAGAAAATAAAGTGAATATAAACTATATTTATTTTGGTAAACAACAAGAATACTCTTCAATGTACGAAAAAGCTTTACTGAAGCAAGAACAAGAAAGTCTAGACGTAAGAGGAAATATGAGATTTGTAATTATTTTTCCATTTTTCCCTTTCCAAATAATGACAATGTCAAGCTAAATCTAACAATTTTCTAAATTTAAATAGTACTTGTAGATATTAATTGCCAATTAAAAAAAAAAAAAAGAGTTGCAAGTTGTTTGACTCGGCCTGAAGCCCGTCACTATCTGCCCAATCCCAGCTGGCCTGATTGAGGGTCCGGGCTGAGCCAAGCCGATAGCTTTGGTCTTTTTCGTGTCGCTTCGGCCCAAAGTATTTTGTGTTAAATTTTTTACAAAAATGTACCTTGTAAAGGTCCAGGTGGGCCCGATCCTAGCCTTGGGCCACTTTTTTCATATGAGCTTAATAAAAAAGGGTACCATTTTGATATGAAAATTGATTTTATTTATTTATTTATTTATGATGAATATATCTGATCAACTGGCAGCGAGAAAACGATAACACTAGGGCTTCACAAAAACAAACGACAAAAAATAAATCTAGCGGGCAAAATACACAACTAAATACTAAAGTAACAAGACAAAAATACAATATAAATTAGGGTAATAATAATCATAACTTTAAAATGAAAAATATGAAAATCTACTAAAGAGAACATCAAAACACCTAGGATAGCGAGCTTACTCAACATTGGCTGAATAAAACAACAAAAAAATGATCAATTATCATATACGTGGTAGCAGCCAACAAAAATTTCTCGCGACAAATAATGACCAAAACCTATCATGAACTTCGATCTGGTAACCTTCTTCTTCCATGAGTTGTACAAACCCCATTCTAAATTGAGTATCTGATTGGTGACCATGTAGATAAAAATTTCTGAATAGAAGCTTGTTAGTGCGTCGAATTACTAGTAAAATATGCAATGCTCTTCCTCTTACACTTTAAACTTCCGAAATAAAGAGTTTTTTTTTTTTTTTTTTTCTTTAGCAAATGATGAGAGAGGATTACTGATATAAGATGTATAATACATCCCAATTAAGTTGGCACCTACTACTAGACACTCATCCTTTGCGAAACTGCCCTCCTCTCAAATTATATTGAAAATTTTAAAAAATAAATCGTAAGGGAAAGAAAATGAGAAAAAAACCTCAAATAGTTTCAAACAAAACAAGAATGACACGTTTGGTTCATAGATTAGAATTATGTAATTAGAACTATTTTTGATTTACGTGTATTTTTTGTAAGAAAAAACACTGTAATAAACCATGAACCATGATTCAAATCATGGTTTAAATCCTTAAACTAAACATCCCCGAAGATTATACATTAGGTCAAGCAATGTTATCTTGCTACTAAGGCCCTAATATTTAAGCCTAATTAAAACCCTCTAAGTAAAATTCAATTGGAAAACCAAAGAAAAAAAGAGTACTCAAACTCTTAAATCCATAACAAGGAAAATATATCGTACCTTTAGCAACAAGCTGACTACTAAAAAAATCTAGAGAATTCCACAGCCATTAGTTCATGATAAAGTGAATTTAGGCTCCGTTCACTTCGTTGATTCGAGTTTAGAATTTGAGTTGAGATGTGATTTTATGTGAGAGTTTTTTACTGTAGCAAAAAAGTTAGATGTGATTATTTGTGAGAGCTTTTTACTGTAGAAAAACTCGAATTCTAAACTCGAATCAGCGAAGTTCACTTCGTTGATTCGAGTTTAGAATTCGAGTTGAGATGTGACTTTATGTGAAAGCTTTTTAATATAGTGAAAAAATTAAATGTGATTATTTATGAGAATTTTTACTGTAAAAAAATTTAAATTCTAAACTCGAATCAACGAAGTGAACGGGCCTTAAACTCTATTTATCTTAGTAAAGGACAATAATTCTTTTCAAAGTACGGAAAAGTTATAACAAGAAAGATTAGACGTAAAAAGAAAAAATGATGTGACGTCAAAAAGGAGAGCACTTTTTTACACAGTCCCCCCCACTATTCTTCTCGGAAAACTCGTTCAAAAAAGTAAAGTCGCAGGAAATGATCATTAGCACACTAATGGAATGGAAATAGCAAAACAAAAAGAATTTCAATGGCCAATTTTCCATTAATAGATCATCGAGAAGCTGGAGAATACAAACCAGTGAGCCAGTGGAATCTTGTGATTTAACCATCACCCTCGCACGTGACTTTCACGTGCTTAGGAAACATATCACTTTTCTAGAGTGATAGGAGAATCGGAATCCTGTTCCACCCTATGATCACCTGCAGTGAACTCTCTAGACTCCAAAATGTAAGTACTACAAAGTATATATAGATATATATATATATATATATAAAGATCTTTCTTCTCTCTCTCTCTCTCCATTTCTAAGAAGGAATTTTTAATTTTGTTTGTTATCAGATTTTTCTCTGATTGTACGGTCAGTAAATCGGAGAAAGTTAGGGTTTTGGGGATGGGGAGAAAGAAGGTGGAGATGAAGCGAATCGAGGACAAGCACAGCCGCCAGGTGACATTTTCAAAGAGGAGGAAAGGTCTCATGAAGAAGGCCTCTGAGCTTTCGATTCTCTGCGACGTCGAAGTCGCTCTTATTGTTTTCTCCGGCAATGGCAAGCTCTACAACTTCCCCAGCTCCGGAAGGTACATACGTACAGAAAACTTTTATATATATAAACACATATAAATATTATATGTGTGTGTCTACTGTGGTTTCCGTACAACTTGTTTGCTTCCTTTTTTGGTTTTTTTTTTTCCTTGGTTTCTTAAACAGTTGACAATAAGGCATAGGCTTGTCTCTCTCTTTTTTTTTTTTTTTTTTTTCCTGTTCTTTTGTGGCATGGAATATGGACTAAATTAATACTAAGGCTTTTGATTATCAAAAAAAAAAAAAAAAGAAAAAAAGGAAAAATACTACTAAGGCTACGATTACCTGGTCAGAATTACCTGTGTTTTCAGGCAAACTTGCTACATAGCATTTTAGTGTCAGACTCATTTTGTTAATGGTCTTTCTTTGTTAATGGACTCTTTTTCCTTCGTTTTTTTTTTTTTTTCTTGTTGATTGATTTCGAATGCTATAATATCGTCGTCTCTTTTTCTGGTGGATGGTGATATATATATATATATATATATATAGGCCACTGACACACTAGCTTGTCATAAAATGGAAGGGACAGGCATATCTTTCGCTGACTTGTTGTGACCTTCCAATTCCAAGAGATCAACCAGATATCTCCGGAAAGTAGTTGTTGTATTGTCTTTTTTTATTTTATTTATTTATTTATTTATTTATTTTTTAAACTTCTCTTTTGAATTCTTCTAGGGTTATCATATTAGTCCTTATGACTGTCCAACCCTTTATGTTCCTTTTTTTTTTTTTTTGCCTTTCTATATTAGGTTGTTGCCTAGGTTTAATTAGTTATAATAACAAGATTAGAGGTTCTAGAGATAAAGGCATGTGTGTGTATATATAGCCATTGCGAGCTTTTTCTCAAACATGTAAAAGATGCAGAAATTGGAGACAGAATACCTCTAGCATATTGATGAATAGCTTGCGCCGTTGTAGGTATATCCAATGAAATGGCAATACACATATAGAGAAATCACAACTACGAAACTTGGGGAAATCATCAAAAAGTTTCAAATTAATTTGATGAATATAATGAAGAGTCGAGAGATCTAACCATAATCAATTGGAAGAAAGCATGTAGCTGCCCACTTTTACCAAATTCATATTGAATGTGGATATTATAGTTGGCTTTCTAATGTAGGTAAAACTTTAGCTAAAAGTTCTAAAAACAATTTATAGTTGAACTTACATTTAATAATTATTAGATGTATTATTTCATTTTGAATAATAATTATTAGCTTTCACAAGTAGAAATAGGAGGTTGGGCGATGGTTTTTAACTCTCATCCAAAGTTATTGCAGCGACAGTTAAAACTCAAAATAAGATAAACACAACATTTTTGTTTTTTTAAATTTTTGAATAGAGTCATAAACTATAAAAGCTGATGTTGTAGATGGTTAGGACATTCCAACCTGGTTGACACCCTTAACTAATTTCATCCTATACTAAAATCGTTACTCAATACTATTAATTAAAAAAATACAAATAATGAAAATATTGCAAGGGAGACTAACAAAACAACCAAGGGCAAAAGCCCAAACAGATGGAAAAACATAACAAAAAGACTAATGCCGGACGGTATTTTCAGAAGATGGAGCCGTACCTCATTCTTTAAAGGGAAGTTACAATATGCCTTCTTAAAACCCTCTAATCATAACCCAATGATAAAAATACTAAGGAGGAAAAAAGAGTAATATATTTACTTCAAGAAGTCGGCTTCTTACAAAATCTGCAGCAAGAAAGACCCGCTGTATGACTATTAACCGCACTAGAACAACCTTAATTAATAACTTAAATAGATATTATACAATCCTAGTAGATAATTATATACAGTATTAAATTCCTAGCTATTTAGATATCTTGTTCATCATTATTCTCCCCTAATTGGAGAATTAGACACTGACGAGTTACAATTAAAAACAATCATGAAGAAACAATATGAGACGCAAGAATACCTTCATGAACTCAGCACTTGATTCTTGAAGAAAGCTATAAGGCTTTGACAAAAGAAATATTCTCACTGCAAATTCATAAATCTTGAACCTCACTCGAAAATTCTTCAAGCCCGCCTAATATCAAGTGCTAGCTAGGCCTTCACTCAGGCTCTTTTTTGGCAGACTAGAATTGTAGAGTTGGCTAATATTGCCAGGTTCATCAAATATTTGTAATTAATCCAAGCCAACTAATCAAGCTTTAAATTAGTATATGCAAATCCATATGGCTTTGCTTAACCGATATTGGATATTTTGTGAATTTAGGCCTGCAATATTTATCTACCTTACACGATTACTTTTGTGAAAGTAGTCATTCAAGCCAATGAATGCTTTTATTTTCTAAATTGTATGAGTTTTTCGTTAAAAAGAAAATCATTCTTAACAATTTAACTACATGTCTCCTTGAGGTCAATTCCATTAGCAATTAGGCTTTCCTCGTAACTTTTGCATTATCTTTCCATTTTTTAAGAGTATCTTCAATGCAATATTGCTAAATTATTGTGCCAATACTATTTTTTAGCATTGAATAGAAAGATTAGTCTATCATACAATGCTATTTTTTTTGGTGTTAAATTTGCCATATGCTATATTTGGTGATAAATTTGGCACCAAGTATAATGAAACTCTAGGCTAGATATCAAAATTGGCAGAAATAGAAACCAAGAAGTAATTTGTCAAAAAATATGATATGAACCGGACTTGAATTGACGAATTGAATAGAAAAGTAGAACTATATTGATGATATATTTGAAAGATTACAATGAAAACCCTAACAATAGTGGTATTCGAGAGACCACCAACTCTCCCCAAGGGTTAGCCCCAAATCTCAAATCATCTGACCTCCCCCTCCCAAATTGCTAATTCGCCTTTTATACCACTAACCCCCTTTTAACCAACTACTAACAACAATTACTACTAATTAGTTATACTCTAGCTACCTCCAGTACAATAGTCTAAGAGAAATTTCAACTATGCTAGTTATTTCATGTTTTTAGCTAAAATGGCTAATAAATTAACTACAATTTAGTTTTTTTCCACTCTAACCATTATCTAAATGGTTAGCTATTTTGGAGAACTCATTTCACACTTGCTAAATATAGCTAGCAAGAAGTGGCTAGCCATTTAATCTTTTGTATTCTTTTATTCTTTCAAACCATAATAAATGCAAAGGTTCTTTCTACATGCAATAAAGTTATTTATATTTTTAAACTCAATAAATAATTAAATAATCTATCCTTAACTAAAATAGAGAGTATGGTTGGAGTGTGCCACTAAAAAATTGTTAGTTAAAATAGCTTTCTAGCCATTTTAGCTAAAATTTAGAAGGTTCTCTTAGAGATGCTCTAACAACTTACTAACCAATCTAACTTCCCAAACATATCATTAACGATTCCTATCAAAATAATTTAGTGATCAAATCACCAAAACGTTAATTGTTCATGGACTAACAGGTCAAAAATCTTTTTAAAAACTATTTTTAAGAGTATGTCACATTCTGTAGCAATCATACTTTCAAAAAGCAAACCTTTAGTTTACCTAATTATCCAAGTTATTGTTAGAATGCATGGATTATGTTCCAATCACTTCTAAAGGCTCTAGGATATAGATTCCAAGAAGGCCCCGTGTTGATCTATATTGATGCTATAGCACATGTAATAAGTTGGTATACTGAATTTGGAAACAGCTTGAACCATATTTTTATTGTTTTCAGCTAATCACAAAGCCTAGTTACGGGCAACTTTTTCATCTTTTTTATATTTCATTTTTTTTTTCCCTATGATCATTCAATTTTTTTTTCTTCTTATTGTGACCTATTGCAGCAAAACTACGCACTAAAGTTGTGTGACTTTTGTCGTCCCAAGTAATTCACATATATAGTTTCTTATTTCTTGAGGATGAAATATGTACCTTAAACTTTTGTGGTCCTCATTGTCAAGAGTCAACAATATATGTGGTTAGTTAAGTTAATCAAAGTATGGAATTAATGGAGCACAAATCACAGAGATGAGAACATGAATAAGTTTTTAACGTTTGAACTGCGCCTGTAGTATTATCTTTTGAGTTTCTTTTGTGATTTGAGTTATAATTATTGTAGAATATCACTACCCGTTTTCATAGTTGAGTTTCTTCTTCTTCTTCTTTTGTAAACTTTGAATATGCTTACGGAGTAATTACTATCTGTCATGCTTCAGTTTAGGAAAAACACTTGAACGCTACTGGACATATAAGGCCAGTCAAGAAGCTGCTGTCAAGAAGGCTAAGAAACCAAAGGTTGACCACATTTTGCTTCTCTACACAATTGTACAGCCACATATAATTGTTTTTCCGATCTGCATATTTATTTCAATTCACATGTCTTCCTCTAGTTTTCTTGGAAAATACACATCACAAGCACTCACACAACCAAAATGCATTTGGTTCATCCAAAGAAGTATTATTTCTAAAAATACATTAAAAAAAATTGACGGTATTTGGGGCCGCAGCACTTTTTTTTTTAATTATTACTTTCTCTTTTTTATTTTTATTTTTATTTTTTTTACAATTGACGAATAAACTATAACGCCCTCTATCTAAACTAGATAATTATACACAAAAACTAGCCTAATTAAGTTGGTAGATATTACTGTTAGAAAATATTCTTTCATGTAAAACTTCTCTCAAAATCTAGGAAACATTCATGTTGGATCACTAAGTGGACGTTTAGTTTATGGATTCAGAATTATTCTCGAGTTACGTGTATTTTTTGTCAGAGAAAATACTGTAGCGAACCACGAACTATGATTCAAATCATGACACGAATACACCAACCAAACATCTCTTAAGAATCAATATATTAATAAGCGAAAACGTACTTGAATCTATGATAATAAATTACTCTCTAGAGCCGTGCGGTTTGCCTTCCAGATCAACACGTTTTTCTAGAGAATCATTTAGCTTTCTCTCTGCTCTCTCTGATGATGGGATGTCATAAAGAATAGAATGTTACATGTGATCTGGAGACCATAACTACTATATATAGATAACTTCACTGTTATCTTTTAGTATTTCTATTTTAGCCCATCATAAAAATAGAAATTGTTCTTAAGTCTCTACACATTAAAGGCCCACACCTTATTAGATACATTAAAGCTCATATTACTCAAACCTTAGCTGATCACTTTTAAATACGTTTAACCTTATATCTGCAACACATAATTATTCACATATAATTAAGGATCCAACAATCTCCCACTTGGGCTATATGTGTAACCTTATAATTAAACATTGTAAAAATAACCGTATGAGCTCAACTTTGCTTTCATTATCAAAATGTATCTATAACCAATCCGGTCTATTAATCATACCAACATAGGATCAAAGCTGCTTTCGTTACATCTGTCATAACTCGACCCATTAATAGTCACATATGCCGATATAACTGACTGACATGGATCATGATGTGGATGTATAGCATGGAAATCATGCAATGTGATCTTAACTTGCCTATTTCTAACTAGTCCACCCTTAAACCTTAGTGATATCAAATCATACCATACTCAGAGTGTAACTGAAATAACTTAAAATGTGTCTATATTATAAAAGCATATAAAATTATAAACTCCAACTAAAACTGAATATCCTCAAATGACATGACATCCATACGAGCAGTGTGCTCCTGACACACTTTGGGTGGTAATCGCTTAGTAAGCGGATCCGCAACCATGGAGTTAATACCAATGTGCTCTAGACATATGTTCACTCTGAATTCTTTCTTTAATAACTAGGAACTTAATGTCTATATGATTTGACTTCGTCGAGCTCATGTTGTTGTTGGAATACAGAACTGCTGACTTATTGTCATAAAATAACTTTAGTGGTCTTTCAATACCGTCCACTATGCGCAGCCCCGTGACAAAACTCCGCAGCCATACTCTGTGATTGGACGCCTCATAACACGTTATGAACTTTGCTACCATGGTAGAAGAGGCTATAAGAGCTTGTTTAACACTCTTCCAGGCGACAACACCCCCAGCTAGCAGGTAGATATAGCCCGAAGTAGATTTCATACTATCTTAACATCCAACAAAATTGGAGTCAATATACCCAACAATCTCAAGCTGATCTGACCTCCGATACGTGAGCATGTAGTCTTTTGTTATTTGTAAGTACCACAAGACTCGTTTGGCTGCTTTCCAATGGTCTACTCCTGAATTGCTTAAATATCTGCCTAACATCCCAACAACGTATGTAATATCTGGACGCGTGCAAATCTGAGCATACATTAGACTTCCTACTGCTGACGCATAAGGAATCTTCTGCATTTCCTTTTCCTCAAAATCATTTTTAGGGCATTGATTGAGACTAAACTTTCCCTTTGCCACAAGGGTATCACCTGGTTTGCAATCATGCATGCCATATCTCTTGAGAACCTTTCCGATATAGCTCTTTTGTGATAATCCAAGAATACCCGAGAGCGATCCTGGTGTATCTTTACACCTAATACAAAATAGGTGTCACCAAGATCTTTCATCTCAAAATTCTTAGCTAAAAATCTCTTATTTTTGTGCAATAAGCCTATATCGTTGCTGGCAAGTAAAATGTCATCGACATATAAAATTAGAAAAATATACTTGCTCTCACAGAACTTATGGTATATGCGGTCATAAACCAAATTCATCTCAAAACCGAACGAGATGATCACTTGATGAAACTTGAAATTCCATTGTCGAGATGCTTGTTTAAGCCCATAGATGAATTTCTTAAGTTTCCAAACCATATTCTTTGGGTCCACTTCTGAGAGTTAGAACTTTTTATGACTTGATGAAAATTGATCGGATCATCTTCCATCACTCTAATATCAACCTCATGTTCTTGGAGAAATACAATGTAGTTTTCTGGCACTGCACTTCTCCTTTCTCTAGTGGATCTCCTTAATGGCATAAGTTCTTGAGGTGGTAGAGTTTGTTCTTATGGATAATTTCTTGAATGAGAGGTTCTCCGACATTGTCTTGATCTGTTGAGTCTTAAACAAAGTTAGGAATGGAATCCTGATTAATTCCAATAGCATATGTGGGAATTTCAACATATTCCTCTTCAAAGACAAAGTCCCTAACTGTATCTCTCTCCGCAAACTCGACATTCTCGAAGAACCGGGCATTTCCCGACTCAAAAATTAACTTAGTCATGGGATCATAAAACTTGTACCCTCTGGATCTTTCAGAGTATCTAATAAAATAGCAACTCATAGTTCTTGAGTCTAGTTTCTTTTCATTAGGCCTATAAGGCCTTGCCTCAGATGGATATCCCTAAATGCGCAAGTGCTTTAAATTAGGCTTCTTGGCCGTCTAAAGTTCATAAGGGGTTTTGGCAGTCACTTTAGTTGGAACTCTGTTAAGGATATATGCTGCAGTCTTAAGCGCTTCTCCCCAGAGTGATTCTGATAAGGTAGAATGACAAATCATACTTCTCACTATGTCTTTAAGCGTCATGTTTCGTCTTTCAGCAACACCATTCATAATGGGCAAACCCCGCATAGTGTAATGTGAAAGGATACTACATTCCTCTAGGAACTTAGCAAAAGGTTCTAGACATTGTTCACCTGAACCATCATATTTACCAAAGTACTCACCACCACAGTCAGATCTGACGGTTTCGATCCTTTTGCTGAGTTGGTTCTCAACTTTAGCATTATAATTTTTTAACACATCCAGTGATTGTGACTTTTCATGAATGAGTTATATAGTCATATCTAGAATAATCGTCTATGAACGTTATAAAATATTGTCGACCATTCCAAGCAACCATAGGGAATGGGCCGCAAATGTCTATATGTATAAGTTCTAAGATGTCAAAAGTCCTGTTAGCTTCAAATTTTCTTTTATTGGTTTGTATCCCCTTTATACAGTTAACGCAAACATCAAAATCTGTGCAATCTAAGGGGTCTAGAATTTTATCTGACACAAATCTCTCTATTTTTCGTATGGAGATATGAGCTAATCTCTTGTGTCATAACGCAATCGAATTCTCACTGGTCAATTTTCTCTTTATACCTTGTGTACTTAATTGTAGGTAATCATTAAATGAAGCAATTGTATCAATTAAATAAAAATTATCATAACCTGATAAAAAACCGAAACCAACCAATTTTGAATCATGAAACAAACTAAATTTTTCATTCCCAAATGAACAAGAATAACCAAATTTGTCCAAAGCAGAAAGAAAAATCAAATTTCGTCTAAAAGATGGTACAATAAATGTTTCATTAAGATCCAAATAAAATCCAGTCTTTAATAATAATCTAAATTTTTCTATCGCCTCAACTTGAACCGTCTTGCCATCGCCCACGTAGATATATCTTTCACCATCAAAACAAACCAAATTAAGAAGCATACCTTTCATAGCACGCCATGCGTGATAGTTAGTGCAATGCTTCTTTTTATGCCATTCAGCTCCACAAAAGAAACATCCAGTGCCTTCCGGTTGATCCGGTTTCTTATGTTGTTTCTTTTGAGGTGTCGTATCTGCAGCTTCCTTCTTCCATTTCTTTCCCTTGTCCTTGTCCTTAGAGGTTGAGGCCAGGTTAGCACTCTCTGTCTTATCTTGTTTTAGTCTTTCCTCTTCCTGAACACAGTATGAGATGAGCTCATTCATAGACCAAGTTTCTTTCTGACAGTTGTAGCTCACCTTAAACTGACTAAACTGTATCGGAAGGGATATCAGAACCAGATGCACTAGTAAGTCCTCGGAGAGTTCTAGCTTAAGTGCTTTCAACTTTGAAGTAAGATGAGACATCTCTATGATGTACTCCCTAATATTATCTTTGCCCTTATACCTCACTGAAATTAGGCTTGTCAAGAGTGTACCTATTTTAGCCTTTTCATTCTTGGTAAACCTCTTTTTAATGTCTGGAAGGAACTCCTTAACCGTAGTAATCTTTTCAAACATTGTGCCCCTAAATGCTTCCGGAATGGTCTTCTTCACGAACACCATACACATGCTATTTGATTTCTCCCACCTTTCTACATCTCTCTTTCTTCAGAGGTACTCTTATCCGTAAGCGGTGCAGGAGAATCGACCCTTAACGCAAGATCGAGATCCATGACTTCAAGAACTATCAGAAGGTTCTCTTGCTATTTCTTGAAGTTTGTGCCATTTAGCATAGGAATAGAGTTGATGTTGACGGTAATATTAGCAGGAGTGTTTGTAGCTAAATCCAGAGAACAACAAACAAACAAAACAAGCTTACATAAGTCTCAAAACAAAAATAGCAATAAAATTCAAATAATGGTAAACTCCATCTCAAGATACCGGACACTCTATTAATATTTTGTCTTTGGACAAAAAATATTAACTTGTAAGAGATGTCTTAACGTAGTAATCAAACACTGATAATAAGAACATGTCGAACAATAAATCTTCCTTTAGGCTGATTTATTGTTCACATATAAAACTGAATAATCATCATGTGTTATTAGCACAGGTGCTCATGCAATTCTGGTTAATATCGACCTTCCTTTAGGCCGGTCAATATTCACATAAGTTACATGCACACAACTGTTTATATTCTAAAACAAATTAATTTCCACAAGAGAGGTCACTTTGGTGACATGTTGTTTCAATTAATTCATAACAAAATATATATAAACATAGCATTATTCGAATGTAAAACTGCACCAAAATTGACCTAACCCGAATCCTGAACAAGCCCATCTAAATTTCCTGAGTCACGGGCCCATGGACCGAAGCCCAGAGTCTGCAACCCTTCAGCTCACGGCTACCGATAGACGGCCACCCGCAGCTCTTAGTCGCCAGTGCAGCCCTCAGGCCGTGCTGGTTTTTCCATAGCGCCAATGGCGGCAGAGGCTGCCGCCGGCCACATATTTGAATTTTTTTTATTTGGCCACCGTACTTCTTATGCAGCTGCGGCCAACAACCACGGCCACGTCCAGATTTCACTGTGTTGGCGGCAAAAAATTGCCACCGTTCAAAACCTCCCTTCTTTTTTAAACAGAAAATAAAATATGGAATACATCCACCAAAAAGAAAATCATCTAAACTTTGTTCTCAATGATTCAACATGAAGAGGCTCTGATACCACTTGTTAGAAAATATTCTTTGATGTAAAACATCTCTCAAAATCCAGGAAACATTCATGTTAGATCACCAAGAATCAATAGATTAATAAGCGGAAGTGTACCTGAATTCATGACAATAAATTACTTTTTAGAGTCGTGCGGTTTGTCTTCTAGATCAACATGTTTTCCTAGAGAATCCTTTAGCTTTCTCTCTGCTCTCTCTCTGATGATGGGATGTCAGAAAGAATGTAATGTTACGTGTGATCTAACGACCATAACCACTATATATAGATAACTTTCCTGTTATCTTTTGATATTTCTATTTTAGTCCATCATAAAAATAGAAATTACCCTTAGGTCTCTACACATTAAAAGCTCACACCCTATTAGATACATTAAAGCCCAAATTACCCAAACCTTAGCAAATCACTTTTAAATAGGTTGCAACACATAATTACTTACATATAAGTCTAATGTTGAATTAAGGATCCAACAATTACTTCTGTTAAAAAATGTTGAAAATTTTCAACTATTCGTATGTCATAGCATTATATAAAAGTATTTACAAAAACGTAAAGCCCATCAGCATTTTCCAAAATATGACAATCTTCATTAGCAGCATATGAACATCCTATCAACCAGTAATGACTCAATCTTACTCTTGAATATCAACATCTGCATCACAAGAAACTAAATGACCTATAACTCAATAAGTAGAATCTATTAGCCGTACTCATAAATATGAAGGTGGTTATGCAGAAAATCCTCATACTTTCTATCATACCCATTTTTTCTCTTTATAAACCGTCCTTTGGCCCCAGTCAAGTGTAAAACTTAGCTTAGTACTTGATAGATCATGAGTTTCATCGAACCTATTCTTTATCAGTTGATGTGGCTATATTTCCTCAAAAACCTCATGCCTCAAGTAGTGTCGCTGCAATCATTTGAGTCCGCCGGTCCCTCCTGTGTTCCTTGCCTAGCCAAGTATCAAACCATGTTTAATTAACACTTCATTTTTAAATGAAAAATAAGGATAAAATAATCTTACTCTTGAAACATGCTCATGACAGAAATACTTGTGAGTTGCTCACTATTGTTTCTTTTGAAGTTTTGAAAAACAAGATTCTACTTACCTTGTTTCAACTTAGTGAAGAGTAGACCGACCTTTAGTTAGCTTGATGTGCCTTAGGAGCTACCAAGCTTTATCATAAATATTATTGTAATCAAATTGACAAATAAGATCCCCTCAAAAAATAAAAAAAATGACATACAAAATCAGATGGAATTATTACTTCTTTACCATTTTTTTGAAACCTGATCAACATCCATGCATTTCTGTCAAATTTAATTTCTGTCTGTACATGTGCATGATTACACATTGCATATGTATATAATCTCGTTGTTAAAGCAATGGATTTAGTGCGCGCGCGCGTGGATAAAAATTAGGTTTGGACTCTGCATATGAGCTTATCTATGATTTTGGTATTTCCTCAATACTTTAATTTACTAAATTAATAACTCCTGATGAATGTATTATAATGTCATGGAATATACTCAAATCAATAACTACCGTTAAATTTTGAATACAAATGCCAACATACACCTTGAGTGATCGACTCGTTTGAAAATTAAAAAGGTGATGTTGTAAGATAACAAACGGGGCATGTTTATGTCATGTGCATGTTTTAACATGACTCATCTTGTGGTGAGGATGCAACGCTCGATTAAATTAAAGGATAATTCACCACAGTTAAAAGTGTAAGGGCAACTTGTCAATTTAGTCGAAGTTCATTGGTCTAAAACGCTAAAAAAGTACTGTTCACTGATTTAATTGTTGATATATGTTGGGAGCAGAATTCCATTTTTACTATATATAATATTTGGTAACCATGCAGAAACACCATATTGAATGTAATGGACCCTGGAGATCAGCTGGTGAACTGCTAAAAGTGATGAGGTCATCTCTGAGGACTATAAATGCCTAGATATGTTGACTAAAATATTGATTCTGCTGATTTGTGTTTGTTTCCACCTGGTATTTACATGTTCAATGCAGTAACCTCAAAGTTGAACAGCTAACCACACAGGAGCTCATTCATCTTGAAAGAGATCTGCATGTCATATTAGGACAAACAAGAGAAAGAAAGGTCAGATTCCAAAAAGTCCCTGCTCTCGTTTTTTTTTTTTTTTTTTAAAATCAAAAGGGAAAAGGTTGCATAACTATATTTGGAATTTGCTTGAAGAAATTATATTCCTATGCAAGAAATAAGACTCTTGGGAAAATATAATAAAATCTTAATTAAGCAACCAGTAGATTTTCTCAACGGTATAGAGCTCGACACTCGAGTGAATTTAGACAAGGTGGTAACCAACTAATTTTCGGAGAACTGAGAGTAAGAAGCTGAATATTTAAATCGTACA